GCTTTCGAATGTTTAAAGAGATTTATAAATAATTTAAGTATGCAAGTGGACTCATCCGGTTCACCGGTGAGGTATAAGTGGACCTATCTGGGACGCCGGTAGGGATTAAGTGGACTCATCCGGTACGCCGGTGAGGTATAAGTGGACCTGCAGGGATTAAGTGGACCTATCTGGGACGCCAATAGGGATTAAGTGGACCCATCAGGACGCTGATGGGGTATATAGGTGACCTACTTGGGACGCCAGTAGGGTATTTTGTGAAATCCTTTGAATTATGTACTGCCGTTAAAAGTGTTATAAGCATTTCAATTACTCGGATTAGACTTAGTTATGCATTTATTGAAAGTGAAACTGTTGATGCATTTCGGTTAATAGATCTCATTTTGGAAAATATTGATATCTTTCAATCATGATTATTTTTAGAATTATGATGATCACTTACTGAGTAGCCAAACTCATCAAACTATGGTAAACATTTTTTTAGGATAACTGCGGATTCATTTTGAGTGATAGTCAAGATCAACCTTGGAAGATACTGTTGTTGTACTAGCTTTCTTTATTTACTTTGTAAGACCTCGCCACTGTAAATTTGTCCTATCAATAGATGTATATATGTTTTGTCTGTCACATCTCAGGAATAACAGTATTGTAAATTCTTGGGGTGTGACACCTAGGGACAAAATTTGGGCTCAATTGGATCTCTCAAAAATAATTTGGGCCCAAATTACCTCGAAAGGGAAAAACCGTATACTATTACGGTGGGACCTGACCCAAACCAGTCCCCAATCATGGAGACCGTGATCTTCACCTCTAGGGATGACCTACAAAAATCCACATGTTGCTCGATTGAAGTCCGATCAAACTCAAATTCGGACACGAGATAAGTCTCGGCGACCTGGTCATTTTGATACATGGAACACGTCGTCACATATTCAGAATAAAAGTTTTTCTAGAGAGAAGATGAGCCTAAAATCATGAAAAACAAAGCTTTCGAAGCAAAAGGCATCTTGAACTTCATGTATGCAATAAACTCGAGAATAATACATCAAATCATTGAAAAGATGGGGCCCAATGGAGCCGTATCACGAAGGGCTACAAACTAGTATAACTATTATATTTAATACAAGGTCAGATAAACCATGACTTTCAAGGAATAAGAAAATAAAAACCGCCCGATAGCCGAAATCCCTTTTGCCGGTGATCTCCAGAAAATAAAAAGTACTTCAAGCAATGACCAAAACAGATAAAAATTAGTGAAAAACTACTATGGAAGTCTCTTCTTTAATTTGCAATCAAGATAAAACCTTGAAACACCATAGATTGCGTTCCAGTGATGGCCAAAAGTTCGCGATCTAAGCAGATTTACACTGCCCAAAAAAGAGTTTGCCTCAAGATCATCAAAAGACATCAAAATCTTTAAAATCAAACAAGTATCACCACTAAGATTGATCGTGACAAACATCGTCACAACCATCCACAAATCTTCCAAGATTTGGTAATGGCGAAAGGCCTCTCAGAGAGGGATGGTTTTATCATAAGTACAAAAGGTTTAAGGGGCATTTTTGTCTTTATTCCTAAATTCGGGATTTTATTGTAATTTATTTTAATTGTAATTAGGTTTAGATTGAGCATCCACCCTTGTTTTGTGGATCCTCTATAAATATAAACCTAGGGAAATTGTAAAAGGGCCGGATCATTCAATAATGAAATAAAGACATTAAGCTTGTTTTTACTTGTCTTTTTGCTCCTAAACCTTGGATTTAGTGCCGAAGAGAGAGAAAACCTTTCAGAGAGAGAAACAACCCCTAGCCTTTTCTAATCGCATGGCTCAAAACCCTCTCTCCTTCTTCTTTCTTTCTTCTCTCTCTTCACTCGTAACTTGCTCTGTGCAGTAACTCGTGCCAACAGAGAACGCACGGTGGCGTCCCTCTTTCCTTGCATCTCTAGCGTAGACACGATAATACCTGAGGTAACATATAACACTCTGCTATCCTACATACACTTGACCCCGATACCCTCAGAGTCAGCCTAAAGATTCCAACCCTCAGTCTAAGTATCTCACCAAATTGGACGGCCTATGTTAATTTGGCTAAAAAAATACTTTTTAGGTTACATTATCAAAATTTTTTTTATTTTTTGATTGTTCATTTGAATAAAAAAAAAAATATATTTCAAAATTTGGATCAAATAAATGGGCCTAATATTTATTGCATAATATTACTATACAACTATATACATATAATTTTTACCACATGGAAGGGAGAAAGATGGAAGCTGCGACAAAATCCAAATAAAAATGATGGAGAGACCCATATTGGAAATTTATAATACTACGTGTAGACGTAAAAGAGGGCAGTTCTTTTAAAGTCGTTGAGGGCAGTGGTTGACCAATTCCAGATAGACAAGATGAAAAAACAATTTAGAGAGAGAGAGAGAGGTTTTTGGCGAGTTTGATGGAGAGAGTAAAGGAGAAGCCTCAATTGTATCTGTAAGGCCTCCCAATGCATGTAGAGCTCCTACAAATGACATGGATCCCCCTCTTGTTTGGAAGAGGAATCCTTCAAGAAACCTACTTTCTTGTTTTCTTCCTTCTTTCCGTGTCCGAATTATTCATGTTTTAAAACACTTCACCCCCTCTCTCTCTCTTCACTTGTTGTCCTCGCCCACCTTTTTGTCCCTCTCTCTTTATTCAAATTCTCTCTCTCTCTCTCTCGGTCTTCTATCGCTCTCTCTCCTGATTCCCAAATCTCTTCTTTCTGCAATTCCCTCTTATTTCGCTAATTTTCCGAATTTTTTTAGAGTAGACAAGCTTTGCTTTTGCTTCTCCTGTAACTTTTTAATGGCTATTCATTTGTTATTTAGCCATTCTCGAAGTTTAGATGCTCCATTTTGAGATGATTTCTAGTGGAGGCCGCCTGATCTTTCAGTCATGGCTTCAGAGCGGCCTCTCTTGATTCCGTCTACTCGAACCCCTTGCAGTCCTTCTTTGCAAAGCCCTCAATCTATCCCTTTTCCTGGTTTCAAACCCATTAGCACCACAAACCCCAGCTCTGCTTATACCATGGATCGCCATGGCTCTCTAGATCGCTCTGGTTCTCTCTCTACGATACAGGAAATCCCTCAAAACCCTAGGGTTTTGTATTCTTCTTCAGCAAGGACCAGCATATCTTCTCGATCGAATCGGTCCAAGGCTGCAGCAGGAAGGAACTCAGTAGAGGAAGAATTTGCAGATGTTTCTCTGTCTTCTCTCTCCATAGACAGCCTGAACCTCCCTAGATCCAAGCAGTTGGGCTCCAGAGGTGGAGGAGAGTCAGAGGTGTTCAGTGCTTCTCAAAAAGAGATTAATGAAGAAAACGCCAGATTTATTTACTTGAATGATCCTCAGCTCACGAATGATAGGTATGAATTTGCAGGGAACTTCATTAAAACCAGCAAATACTCGGTCTTCTCCTTTTTACCGAGAAATCTCTTTGAACAATTTCACAGAGTGGCTTATATCTATTTCCTCATCATAGCGATTCTAAACCAGCTTCCTCAGCTTGCAGTATTTGGAAGAGGTGCTTCTCTTTTGCCTCTGGCTGTTGTGCTTCTTGTCACTGCTATTAAAGATGCTTATGAGGATTGGAGGAGACATCGATCGGATAGAATCGAGAACAATAGAGTCGTAGAGGTCTTGGCAATGGAAGACCTGCAATTCAGGCTGAAGAAATGGAAGGATATCAGAGTTGGGGAGATGGTTAGGGTCAAGACGAATGAAACCCTACCTTGTGACATGGTTCTTCTCTCTACCAGTGACCCATCTGGTGTTTCCTATGTTCAAACTATCAATCTTGATGGTGAAACCAATTTGAAAACCAGGTATGCAAAGCAAGAGACTCTTTCTCTCGCTAAAGATGGGGTTATCTCGACTGTTGCTGTGATCAAATGCGAGCAACCCAATCGAAATATATATGGGTTTCAAGCTAACATGGAATTTGAAGACGGAAAGAGGCTATCTTTGGGGCCTTCAAATATAATTCTTCGAGGTTGTGAGCTCAAAAACACAGATTGGGCAGTTGGGGTTATAGTGTATGCAGGCCAAGAGACCAAGGTCATGCTCAACAGCTCAGGAACTCCATCTAAGAGGAGCAGGCTTGAAACCTCAATGAACAGAGAGATAATCTGCCTATCTTTGTTTCTGATTGCATTGTGCACAGCTGTGAGCACATGCTTTGGCATATGGTTACAGGGCCAAAATGATGATGACCTGGATATCATGCCTTATTTTAGGAAGAAATCCTTTGATGAAGATGGTGGTAATTACAACTTCTATGGTCTATGGCTTGAGATCCTCTTCATGTTTCTCATGTCTGTAATTGTGTTTCAGATCATGATTCCAATCTCTCTGTATATTTCAATGGAGCTTGTTCGATTGGGTCAGGCTTATTTCATGATAAGGGATACTGAATTATATGATGAAGCTTCAAATTCGAGGTTTCAGTGTAGAGCTCTGAACATTAATGAAGATCTTGGGCAGGTGAAATATGTGTTCTCTGACAAAACCGGTACTCTTACAGAGAACAAGATGGACTTTCAGCGTGCGTGTATAGGTGGGTTGGATTACTATGGCAGGGGAACCTCTTCTAATGAAGGCGGAGCTGATGAAATTGCAGTGAAAGGTATGACTTTGCAGAAACTAAGGGATTTTTGTTAGATTATTTTCTCTTTATGTAATTGGAGAAAAGAAGTGAGATATCATCTTTTTTTCCCCTATGATTGCATAAAAGAAACGAGAGATATCCCTAAGGATCTCTGTCTCTTGGGTGGGACTTGATCGTTCTCTCTGTAACTGTTTTTTTATCTTCTTTCTATGCAACAGTAAATGGAGAAGTGTGGAAACCAAAGATGAAGTTGAAGGCTGATAGTGAGCTTCTAAAACTCTTGAAAAGCCCTGGGGAAACCCCAGAAAAGAGGCAGGCTCATGACTACTTTCTTGCCCTAGCTGCTTGTAATACTATAGTTCCACTTCCAGTGGAGACAAGAGAGAAGGGGGTGAGGTTGATAGACTATCAAGGTGAGTCTCCTGATGAGCAAGCTCTGGTGTATGCTGCAGCTGCCTATGGCTTTGTTCTTCTTGAGCGAACATCTGGTCATATTGTGATTGACGTCCAAGGTGAAAAACAGAGGTACCATCTGCTCCACTGGAACTTTTTTGCAAGAGAGAGAGAGAGAGAGAGAGAGAGAGAGAGAGAGAGAGAGAGAGAGAGAGAGAGAGAGAGAGAGAGAGAGAG